GCGGCGGCCCCACCTCTGCGCCTGCCCGGCGGCTCAGCCGGGGCGCCCGGCGGCTCCCGTGGCCGGGTGCGTGCGCTGCCGCGGCGGCCCGAGCGCGCGCGGAGCCCGGCCTCCTGCAGCGGCTGTGCTGGGGCGGCCGGGTCGCCTGGCCCGGTGAACCCGCCGCGTCACGGTTTGCGAGTGCCCCCTACCTGAAACGCTGGGGCCAGAGGTGTTGCTGCGGGTCTTGGAGTTTTTCCGATTTTGGAATATTTGCACGGATTTGCCAGAAGAGCTTCCCTAGTCTGGAAGTCCAGAATCCGGCATAGTGCTGGGGTGGGGGGTGGGGGGACCAAGACTGCAGATTTTTGGTCCGCAAAGCTGTTGTAAAGATAATTGTTTATGAGAGAGCTCAATCTATAGATTAGGTAGGTGTAGGAATTATAACCTTCCCAAATTTCCACAGGGACACTTTCGCCTGAATTTCAAGGCCTCTACTCACCGTGTGATTTTATGCACGCTTTACTGCTGTCTCAGATAACTTATTAGGCAGTCAGTCTGTTTTTTCCCCAGTCTGAGCAGTGTCATTGGTTCAGAATGTCTGCTGTTGTCTGTGTCCATATATCATTGCATCTAAAAACCAGTTTTTTTCATTTTGTTGTATTAGAATGCTGTATTTTTCAGAAAGAATGTGAAATAGTAATTGGAGGAATTGGCCGAATTCTTAACAGTAGCCAGTTTTATCATTTTCAGGTTTGATAAACTTGGTCAACTGAATTCCAAGAAAGAATGCATACGTTTTACTTATTTTGTTACAGTCACTGCACGTTGTACAGATTGGTGTATTCCCTGTGATACTTCTATACATCCATCCATTGTGCATTCATTCTGCACATCCACTGATCTACTCTCTCCCACCCCCAGCACCCTTCCCACTCCCTAAAAGTCCCTCTTAATATTTTTCTGTCCCACTTCTCTTGCTCTTCCCCATTTCTAGTGACACTCTTCCGTTCCATACTTGTGCAGGTTGACTTGTTGGTTAAGAATACGTAGGTTCTGAGATGTTTCCCTCCCACCTTACAAGACATCATGGCTTTGTGACTTGGCCAGTTAGACAGTGAGCTAGAGGAGTTTACCTGTGTGAAGCATTTCATACTTCTATAGAGACTTAAGTTCTTTGAGATGGGATTGTTTGCCACTTTACAGTCTGAGTTTGTAGGTGAATCCTAAACTTTATTTCCACTAAGCTGGACATGGTGGTGCATGCCTGTGTCCTCAGCTACTCAGGAGGCTGAGGTGGGAGGATAGCTTGAGCCCACAAGTTTGAGATCTGCCTGGGCAACATAGCGAGAGCCTTTACTCCGAGGGGGAAAAAATCCATTAGCTTACCAGGGTTTTTATTTTTAGTAGCCTAGGATTGAAATCTTACATCTTCTTTTGAGCAGTTGATGGTCTAGCATTAGGAGGAGGTAATCTCAAATATGAATGTGTGAGCACAGTGGAGTTCAGAGGGGCTTGTTTTTTTTTTTTTTTTTTTTTTGGTTGTTTGCAATTTAAAACCTGTTTTGATAAGTTTATGTTGTGCTTCCAAAAATTTTGCCAAAGAATCCCAAGGCCGGTAGGCTTGGTGGCACATGCAGCAGGCCTGTAGTCCCAGTGACTCTGGAAGCTGAGGCAGGAGGATCACAAGTTTGAGACTGGTCTGGGCAATTTAGTGAGACCCTGTCTTTAAACAAAACCAAAGGCTGGAGGTGTAGCTCAGTGGTAAAGTGCCCCTCATTCAGTCCTCAGGACTACACTCCCTATGGCCTCGGATCATCAGCTATGTGCAGTGGGAAGATTGGGTGTTGCTGGGATCCAGTCATTCCAGTTAGGACCTTGAGCTTGCTGAGAGTTTGCTAGCCAAGGAATCCTTGCTTTTTGTTTAAGACAAGTGTGTTTTAGGCACCCAGAATAGAAGGCCCATCTTAGTTTGACTCTTGTACCACTGCAGTGATAGGAAGTAGCTGATGTGGAATGGCAGGAAACTGTTCTCTTCCGGTCTCTGCTTACTTTGCATGGGCCTCATGATTGTTAGCAAATTGGGAGCCTCCCTGAATGAGTCAGGGGGTTTGTCTTTGGGGGGCATATGTAATAAGTGGGAGACCCTTATTGATGGGTAGCTAGTGGAGAAATTTTTGTGTATGTGGTGCTGAGGCTCAAACCCAGTGCCTCACAATTTAAGCAAGCGCTCTACCACTAACCCCAGACCTGTTAGGACGTTTTTAAGAAAAAGTTTGGGATGGCATAGATTTGTTCTCACCTGACAGTTGTTTTCTACCCTGCCTGCTTCAGGGAAAGTCCTGTTGCTTTTGCTCTGTCTGTAGTTAAATTTTAAATTTTGTGAGTGTTTAGTAAAAGGAGGGACATTACAGCTTTGTTCTATTGTAACTACAAAAAAATCACGGTGAATTTTACTCTTCATCTTGACTGCTCTATGTAGCCTTAAATTCTTAATCTGTGTAAAATGTACTCTGCCACCTCTTAAAATGTGCTTTCCTCCCATGTCCAGAGGGAAAAGAAAAGCCTATTCAAAAACAAGGTGAGATAGTTTCTGTTTAATAGTTGCAGGAGAAAGATAGTTCTGTACCTTCTGTTCAAGTTTTATAAGTATATACTTACGTTAGTACTTGTTTACTCAGTTATTCTGAGGTGGCTTTCAGTGATTTGTATCTACTTTTTTTTTTTTGGTGCCAAGGATTGAACTGAGGGGCACTCAACCACTGAGCCATATCCCCACCCCTATTTTGTACTTTATTTAGAGACGGGGTCTCATTGAGTTTCTTAGCATCTTGCAGTTGCTGGGGCTGTCTTTGAACTCTGGATCCTCCTGTCTCAGCCTCCCAAGCCTCTGGGATTACAGGTGTGCACCACTGTGCCTGGCTGTGTCTTCTTATGTATTTGTTTTCTCATGAGTACCAAGCACAGTTCTAGGTATTGGGGTCTCCACTGAATAACACAGGATCTAAGACCCTGCTCTCATGTCTGCAGTGGGAGACAGACAAGCAAGTTACATGGTTGGAGGTGCTTTTGAGAAAAAGATAAGAGTGGAGTCTTGGGTGGTTGTAATTTGAAATAGGATGGAGAGGACATGGCTTACTGACGAGAATGCCAAGATCTTTTAAGTACTGGATTGAGAAAACTTTCGAACATCAGATTCTCATGAATTGCCAAGAAACACAGAAAAAGGAGTGTAGCACGGAAGACCATGCCTCAGTAAAAGTGGAGTGTTTGGTGGTTATTTCAGTAGATCTTGTAAGCAGGTATGACCACGGGAATGTCTGTTCTGTGTCCTGAGAAAGGTGCTTGGGACAGGCTGAAGTTTGAATGGGGTCTCTGGTGCCATGCTGTATGCTGGTAATAGGCAGCTGTCACTTAACAGCAGTGGATTTATTAGACAGCAATTTCCTGGCCATCTCATGCCAGATCCTGTGCTGGGCCCTGGAACTACTGCATTGAGCAGGATAGTGTCCCTGCCTTCATGGAATTTGTTCTTTGATGGGATGACAGATGTACTGCTTAGTCATTATTTCTAACACTATAATAAAAAGTTTCATCCTTTTCAAGAACAATAGTGATCCTATACCCATCACTTAGCTTCAACAATACCCTACTTGCCAGTCTTGGTTTACCTGTAACGTGTGTCTGGTTGGTTGGTTGACTTTGCAGTACTGGGGATTGAACCCAGGGCACCATAATGCTAGACAAGTGCTCTACCACCAGTTACACCCCCAGCATTATTATTTTTTATTCTGGGACAGACTTCTTAGTTGCCCAGGTGATCTGGCACTTGTGATGCTCCTGAGTAGCTGAGATTACAGGCATGTGCCACCTTGCTCAGCTGTATCTGTGAATTGAAAAAAAAAATTATCTTATTATTCACTACCACATATGTGTGTCAGAAGATAAGGGAGGTATGTATAAATTAGATAATTAAATGCAGTTGGATTTAGTTACAGCATAATTTCAAGAGCACCTGTGTGCGTTAGGATCTGACTCTCCCTCCCCCATTTTGTTAATGAAGGGTATATTGGTTTGCATTCTCCCATAGTTTGGAAATTTACACAGATTACCTGGCTGTTTAATTACTTGTTAACTTGTCTGCTGACATATTTAACTAACAACTTGGTTGACTTAAGATGCTAGGGAATGGTGATGGCTTGGGAAAGGAGCTGTGGACCAGGGCAGTGAAATGAGATCTGGACTGCTGGGGCTCACGCACTGACCAGGCTTGTAGGTAGGTGTTGGGATGTCCTGTGGGGGGTCCTGATTCTTTCTTGGCATGGATGGTTCCTCTGTCCCTCCAACATAGTCCTAAGCTACAGTATGAGCCAGTGCTCTTGGAGAGTTGGACCTGAACCAAGGCTGGTCACACTCTCCAGGATCAGTAGGTGGCCTGCCCCCCTCAGCTTCACCTGCGCCACTTCATGCTCTAGGGTTAATTTAACCACTGTTGCTGATTGATCAGTTAGTTATCTAGCGGGCAGGCACTGGGAACCTTTGAATCTCTTTGGTGATAGGTAGTAACTGTTCAAACTGAGGTTTTGTGAAGTGTGACCACACTCTAAGGCTCATGCCTTTGTCTTCCAAAGGAACCCAATGTGAAATTACATTGTTATTCTGGCTATCGACTGTTTTCAGGTAAAAATTACAGTTCAGTGTTGTATGGTTTTCTGTAAAAGTTCAGATGTTTTCCTGTGAAAACTTTATGTTGAGATAAAAGGAAATTAATTCATAAGTAGTAGTGTTGCAGGAGGGGGTACGGCTGAGTGGTAGAGTGCAGTCCCCAGCACTGCCACATACACACACAAAAAAAGATCACTGTGGTGTTTTGATCCGTAAAAGCAGACTTGGCCCTGGGAGGGAATAGTCGCATTCTTTTGAAAATCTGTTCTGCCTGCTGTCCCTTCCGCAATCTAACTTGATTGCTTTATTTCTTTTTTGATTGGCAAATAAATATGATGTTTTGAAATTGGTACCGAATGTGGAATGGCTAAATGCGCATGAGCATTGCCTCAGCACCACCACCACCACCCCCCCACCCCCGTGTTCTGAGTGGCTCGACTCCATATAGGCCTGTGGACATACGCACCACCACGTTCACGACACAGTCCCCCACTGTAGGTAGTCTTCTGGTGCCTTTTAAAGATGGGGGGCCTCCTCCCTGATAGGGCTTGGCACTGTGACTTCTTGAAACCAACATTAAACTTGGCATTCCAACATTAAAGCAAATGGGTCTTTTGTTTTCCCTCAAACCTTCAAATTTGATGGATCTTTATAACAAAATAATTCCTGGTGATGAAACCGAAGTGAAGTCCAGCTTCTTTATAAATGTCATTGTCCTCCTATGTCAAGGGAGCAGTGTTTAGTTACTTGATTTGGTGGTCCCACAGCAGACAGCGGGTGAAACAGTCCATGTGTGTGGGGGGCATAAAGGCAGAGGCCGAGGCCGAGGCCCAGGGCCCGGGAGTGCTGCAGCTGAGTGTAGAGGAAGGCTGCAGCTGGGGAGTGGGGAGGGAGGGAGGGGACGCAGAGCCACACTGCTCGCTCCTTGGGTCTGCTTTGTCCTAGGCCTCGAGTTCTGGGTCAGTTTGTTGGTTTTTAGTCATTCAGAATTATTTTCCTTTCCATCGTTTAAGTGCATTGGCCTGTTTTTCTGTCCTTGATGTGGCACTTTGTTGCTGTTGAGAGGGAAGCGTGTCAGGCTTTGCAAGCCTTTTCATGATGTTGCCAAGTACAACGGTAAAGGTGCGAGTTGGTGGAGTCTGCCAGGCTGGAGGGGGGCCTTCCCGTGTCTGCTGGAGTGTCTGTGTATCCTGTGTACCTCTTGGGCACGCGTCCTGGTACTATCTGGTGAACAGGGTAGAAAAGGAATGTTCTCACCTTTCTAGACACAGTGAACTTCTTGGGAAGTTCTTAGCAGAACAGCAGGAATCCGACTGACCCTGATTGAAGCTCAAATGTGAATTGGTTAGGTTAGCCAATTGTAGCCCAGGTGAATTGTTTAGCAGTCGTAGGGAGGGATGGAAGGATCTAGTTTGGAGTCCTGGATCCATATCGTGCCAGCCTGTGACCTTGGGCTAGGCCTTTTGTCTTTTCCAGCCTCGGCTTCCTCACTTAAACTGAGGGGGTCCCTCCTTGGTAGAGCTGATGTGAGTGTAGAACGCTTGAAGTGCCTGGAACAGCAGCCCTTCCCTGGTGCACGCCTGTTGGAAATGGAAGGCGTGGCCTTACTGGGCAGCATTGCTGGGTTGGCGAAGAGGCGTCTGTTCATGAAAATGGCAGTGGTCGGTGCTTCCAGGACAGCAGGCTCCCTTTGGCAGTTAGTGTAATTGAGGGAGGGGGCCGCTGGGTGCATGTTAGGCATGGTGGCCCGAGTGTAAGTGGTGTTAGTGTGTAGGCAGCTTGGGGGGTCAGGATCCCTTCATACTCTGACCCAGAAATACTACCACAGCAATTCTGTTATTGCCGTATAAATTAAGAATAACTGTGGTGGAGAGCCTATTACACAGAGATGCTCACAGGGACCATTACCAAAAGTATGTCATGGGGCTGGGGTTGTGCTCAGTGATAGAGCGCTCGCCTAGCATGTGTGAGGCCTAGGTTCCATCTCCAGTATAGCTCTGTATGTGTGTGTGTGTGTAAAATCTCATAGAAAAACTTCAGTATGTAACAATTATGAAGGTTGGTCTGTGTCACTCCTTGCATGTATAATGTGAGAAAAGGTGAACTGTCACCTTGGGAATCTTGTGATTGCAGCAGGTCCAGCAGAGGAGCATGCACTGAGAATAGAAGGGTGAGGTTCGCCCGGCTAGAGGGTAGGAGTTGGGTTCCCATGTGGAATGAACTGGAGCTCTGCAGAAGGCCAGGGGGCCCATAAAGGGTGTTCCAGTCACATTGAGGTGGGGCTAGACCTGGCTACTGCTGTGGTGACGGTGTGGTGTGACCAGCCACCCTAGGGTTTATTGCATTTTTTTTCTTATTAATTTACCTAAATAAATAATTTTTTAAAAAACAATATAATCTATAGTATTTTTATTTGTTTTTTTTCAAACAGTAAAAACCTAATTTAAAAGTGCATTTGAGTTAAATGCAAAATAGTTGTAGGTCATATATTCTAATTGGAGCTGTTTGTCATGAGTACAGAAGTTTCTTGCTGCTCTCTTTTCCAAAAGCTTGTGAGTGAGTGGTTTGGCTTTCTGTGCATCCTGGGAAGGAGATGGGCCAGGTTTCAGCTGGAGCAGTTCAGGCACGCAGGGTCCCCTCCATCACGCTTGAGGAGCTTTGTTCAGGTTTAGTCTACATTCAGGGCCCTTTCAGGCAATGCATTTATATATTGGCTTGAACTTGTGAAAATTGGGCTTTGCAGCTTTTTCAATATCAAGTTCTTCTATTTAAGAAAGCACCTTATGACCCATCTTTTAATATTCATGGGTAAAACGTTGTTCAGTTCTTCCATCTAGAGATGATCATATTAAACATCCTATGAAAGTGAGATTCTGAGTGTGTTTTTTGTTATTTTTGTTTTGCTTGTGGTGTTGGAATGGAACTCAGGGCCTCGAGCAGGCTAGGCAGTACATAATGTTACCTAGCAGGGCATCTTCAGTGTAGAAGTCAGAGGTGCAGAACTAGCAGGTGAAATTAGAACATCATGCTGTGCATTAATTTGAGAGCTAGTGTAAACACCAGCGGATGCTTTGAATTGGTCTGAAATAACTGGACTAGCATTATTATATTGTCATGGTGTGTTCACTCAGACGTTCCTGTTGTAAATTAGGATTAATTGTTCTTATCAAGAAGCTTGGTCTTTTTAGTGCCAGTAGGAGACATTTTATGAGTAAAATTTTCATATAATACACATTTTTTTTTTTCCTAGTACTGGGAATTGAACCAGGGGTGCTTAACCACTGAGCTACATCCCTAGCCCTTTAAAGTTGGTTTTTTTTTTTAAATTTTGAAACAAGGTCTTGTTGAGTTGCTTAGAGCCTCAGTTGCTGAGTCTGACTCTGAACTTGTGATCCATGTGCCACTGTACCTGTTGAAATGCGCTTTTTTTTTCCCCTTCCCCGCAGTGCTGGAGATTGAACTCAGGGTCTTGCACATGCTAGGCAAGTGCTCTACCACTGAGCCACATCCCCAGCCCTGAAGTGCATGTCTTAAGTACACAGTTAAATGAGTTTTACAAATGAGTGAACCCAAATAACATAGCCAGACCTGGAATATTAACTTCACTCCTAGAAAGTCCCCCTGGCCCTCATAGTGCATCTCCATCCCATAAACAGTGTGGAAGAGCACACTGAACAGATGTTTTTGTTTGTGAGTGTAATTGTGACTCTCTTTGATTTGTAGGAATAAGAGCATTCAGATGGCAGATAACAGGTAAGCCTGAATGGACGTTGTTCATCAGAATTTAAAGCAAGGTCAGTGAGCAAGAGCCAGGGTGGGTGTCATTCAGTTCTAGAAAAACATGTGAATGCACTCACTCTGTAGCTCATTTGCTTCTCATGGATCCGAGCAGGTGAAGAAACGCCTCAGACAGTGGTCAAGGGAGAGGTTGTAGGTTGCTCAGGGTGGGTTTGGGCTGTGTGTTTCTGCCTTGCTTGAGGAAGGCATGTCCGTGAAGGGTCTTAGCTCTCTTCCCGTGGAGCTGCATTGTTTTAGAGAGTCTGCTGGCTTTCAGAGCACTAAGGGGACTGTGTCCCACACGGGCAGGGCTGCTCTGCTGGGTGGCATGAGCAGAGGCCAGACAGGACAAAGTTGGTAGGGTTGGTGGGTTTTGAGGGCTGGGAGCAGATTTTTAAGGGAAGAAACAACAACTAAGAAGCCCGAGCGAGGGCTGCAAGTTGGAACTCTGTGGGTGGGAGAAGGGTGCTGAGTGGTGGGCGTTTCCTTCAGGACAGGTAAGTCCCTGGGGTGACGGGACGCAGCGCATTCCCTGTCGTGTTCCCTGGTTCTGTGGCTGCAAACACTGCCTAACGTGTTGGAAAAAATGGGAGGAAAACTTATTCCTGTGGTTTGTTTTTGCAACTTTCTTGATGGTGATACTTTTTAAACACACTGTTTCAGTTTTTCAGATGGTGTGCCTCCAGATTCAGGGGAAGCTGCTAAGAATGCAGGTGGCCCAGGTCAGTCAGCTGCACCTGAAACGCAGTTGGAGGGCTCACCTGCAGGTGGGCAACTTCTTCCTCTGGAATATGTACTGTACTAACACCAGTGTGGGGTTTCAGTCTTGGAAGGGTTAGAAACATCAGTACGAGATGAAGATCCGTACCTGGTTTAGAAGTGACCATGCAATAGGAAATTCAGACTCTACACAAGTAAACCATAGCACAGCGCCCTCTGCTTACCTGCCCTCACTTAGGTGGGCTTCAGATACACATCCGTACCCTGCCTTTCCTTACCCTGCTTATTGTGAAGCAAATTCCATGTGTCATTGTATCCATAACTTCACAGGTGTGATAACTTTCCCCATTAAAAAATCTTACATATCCAGATCCACCTTTCACTGTCCAAAAGCAAGTTGTGGATATCTCCTGTTTTCCTAGTAATTTAATGTAATTCCTAAAATCTGGAATGTACTCTTAGAGACATGGTGCTATTACCACACCAAGAAGCTCAGCGCCCACCCAGTGCCATCATCCGGGGTCTGTGGCATATGTGTTTTCCTGTACTTCCAGCAGTTGCTCTTGCCCCACACCATGTCTGGGACCTGCTGGAGAGTCACATTGGCACTGGGTTGCATCTCTGCTCTGGCATCGCCTCCCTGTGGCTGGCACCCAGCATGCTCTGGCCCACACTTGTCCTGTAGCGTGCCCCATCTGGTTCTGTCCTGATGAGGTCCAGGGTGAGCCTGTTGACGAGAGCCACCCAGAGATGACGTGGTGCAGTACATCAGGTCAGGAGCCATGTGGTGCCAGCCTGGCCTCTGCTAGGGACCCTGTTGGCTTCTGTCATCGTGGTCCTTAGACCTTGTCTGTACTCACCACTCCTCCTGATCGTCACGCCCACTGATGGTCTTGCTGGATTGGAATGACTGGAGGCTGTCAAAGGGTGCTTTTCCTGTCCTCCTCCTGCACACCGTGGACGGAAGAGCTCCCTTCCCTGTACTGAGCTGTCGGCTCAGGGTGCTGTCATGTGCTGCCCTTCCCTTGGTATGAGGTGGTCCTGTCTAGCCAGTGGGTCTCTTCCAGCTGTCCTCTTAAAGTCCCCTGCGTTTTGAAGCACCTCTGGTCTTGCAGCACAGTGTGATGTTCCATTTTACCTTGAGCTTTCCTTGTCCCCCCCAGACCAGGAATCACCATTTATCCAAGGAGCCCAGTTCTTTTAGTGGGGAAAGATAACCTAGAAACCAGAAAATATATATTCAGAGTCGTCGTTTCTAGTCCATTTCAGATGACACATCTAGAGATGTGTTTTGTTTTGTTTTTTAATACTTTTTTACTTGTAGTTGGACACAGTACCTGTATTTTACTTATTTATATGTGGTGCTGTGGATCAAACCCAGGGCCTTGCACGTGCTAGGCAAACGCTCTACCACTGAGCCACAACCCCAGCCTCAGGAGATGTGTTTTTATATGTGTGCAGTGCTTGACAGATTATGCATGTACCTGCAGTTTTCTGTATGAAAAATTACATTAAGTACAATGTTTCATGTTAGTGGTTGCATTAAAATTGAGTGGTGACACACCTGTAATCCCAGCAGCTTGGAAGGCTGAGACGAGTTTGAGGTCAGCCTCAGAAACATAGGAAGACCCTAAGCAATTCAGTAAGACCCTGTCTCAAAGTAAAAAACAAAGAGGGCTGGGGATGTGGCTCAGTGGTTAAGTGCCCCTGGGTTTTTGCCCCTTGATAAAAACTAAATATTTAAATAGAGTAGTTGGTTGGTGTGTTTGACTTGCCCGCGTTCCATGCGTGCTCCCAAGTGTACATACCTCCTCAAGTACAGGAGGGGTTTCTTTATTGTTTTAAGAGGGAAATTATTCACCAAGTCCTGCAGTCTGATGCCATGAGCCCGGTATTAATCCCACTCTGTGGTCAGAGCTGAGTGAAGGACACTTTCCACCCTGTGGGTGTCGTTTTATTCTGGGAATTTGGGTTTGTGAATACCAATGGTGCAGTGTGGGACTGTGGGAGATGTCAGGGAGCAGGGTGGTGGGCAGTGTTCTGTGGAGGGTAGGGGTGAGAGCAGAAGGGCGGGGTGGGGAGCAGCAGGGCAGAGGACGCTGGCAGGCACAGTGTCTAGACACAGGTCACACTCTTTTCCTCAGCTAGGTTAGCAAAGCACACGTGGATGGGTCCTGTTTTATTTGTGTTACATTCCTGGTCTTGGCTTCTGGACACCACTGTGGGACTTGGGGAGGCTGCCAGGTAGCCAGAGATAGACTGAGCTTGACAATCGTGAGGGTGCAGCATATCTACAGCAAAGAATCAGACACCTCAGGGCATCCCTGAGCACACAAAGAATATCGTGTGCTCCTAAAATAAAGTTTAACTAGCTGGGCATAGTGGTACATCCGTAATCCCAGCAATTCTAGAGGCTGAGGCAGGAGGATCACAAATTTGGGGTCATCCTGAGCAACTTAGCAAGACCCCGTCTTAAAACGAAACAAGAGTTTGGTGCAGCTGAGTAGTAGAGCATCTACCTGGCATGAGCAAGGCCCTAGCACTGCCAAGGAAAAGCCTGACTTTTCAGAATGTGTTTTTAGGAAGTCACTTGCTATGTTTAGAAATTAGTAGCTTCGCAAAACTAAGTCGATCTGCGTAGGTGATTTCTGTCCTTGGCTGTTCTGTGTGGGTGTGTTTTAAAAACTTTTGGTCTTTTTCTGACTCTTGATAGAAAAGCTCACAGATCAGGTGATGCAGAACCCACAAGTCCTGGCAGCTCTGCAGGAGCGACTTGACAGTGTCTCTCACACTCCTTCCAGCTACATCGAAACGTAAGTACGCTGCTGGTAAGACTTCAAGCCACAGGATGGAGTTGAAGAGACCTTTTCCACTGCCTCGGAATGGGGATAAGAGTGCAAACCTGGCCTAGAAGAGCCAGGTCCAAAGAAGGGTGTCCTACCCTGTGGTTGGACACTCATGGGTGCAGGTGGAGTTGTCTGCTAGGAAGTGCGCAGTGCCACCCTGTGGCGGTGTGGAGAACTTCAACCATCACTGGCAGCAGAATGTTGTCTGGCTTCCCCCACCAAGCCTGTGGCTGCTTGTGTTGCACAGTGTGAGTGATAAGAAGCCCGCCCTGTGTGCCTTCTGCAAGCAGTGAACCTCCCATCAGGCCAGGGTTTGACCCCACAGGATGTCCCATCCTGTGTATCAGTTCCTATTTAGGGTTCATTGATGCCTCCAGGGCTGTAATAGAGGGGACACTGGGGTTTGCTTTGTCCATTTGGAGGGTTCTCTGGGGATTACTTGGTGGGTAAGGCTTGGTTTGGTTTGGGTTGATCTGGCTTGGTTTTTGATAGGGTATTGAACCAAGAGCCTCATGGGTAATGGTCAAGGTTTTCCCAGGGTGTTTCTTAGAGACAGAATTGGAGATAGACCTGAGTGGGTATGACTGTGGAAACTGAGCAAGCAGGTGTCTTTCATTCCCTGACAGGAGTTGCAGGCCTGGGGACAAGGTTCTCTCGGCACAGAATTGGTTCCACACTAGCCTGGTGCATGAGGATGCGAATGTGCTTCCTCCAGTGCTGGCTGACACTGGAAGACCGGGTTCGGGAACCGCTCTGTTCCTCTCAATTGTATTGACTAAGCACTTTTCTTTAAATAAATGATTGTCCTGGGTCCAGAAAAAGCTTTAATTAATTTATAGGACTACTTCATACAAACGTAAAACAAGCAAACAACAGCAACAAAAAAGGACATAGAACAAAACAGGCAAAAAGCTCTTCCTTAGGGCATTATATCCACCTAAAACTAAAAAAATAAATATTAAAGTTCTTTCTTAGTTAATCTGGTTGAAAGAAGAGCTTGCCCTGTTGGTGAGTTCACAAGGACCTGCATGTGGTACCAGATAGTTCTGGACAGCATGACCTAGGCCATTCTGAGTCCTGATCAGCTCCTCTTGTGCCAGTTTTCTGTTTGTTTTGGGTTTTGTTTAGAAGTCCTTCATGCGGCTGGCCCAGGGGCTCTACCACTGAGCCACATCCCCGGCCCTGTTTTGTATTTTATTTATTTAGATATAGGGTCTCACTGAGTAGCTTAGCACCTTGCCATTGCTGAGTCTGGCTTTGAACCCATGATCCTCCTATCTTTGGTTATTTCCTCCCAAGCCTCTGGGATTACAGGCATGTGCCACCACACCTGGCCCTTTTTATTTTGAGACTCACTGAGGGTCTTACTGAGTTGTTAAGGGCCTTGCTACATTGCGAGGGCTGACCTCAAACTTCAGTCCTCCTGGCTCAGCCCCGGGGGTAGCTGGGATTAAAGGTGTGCACCACCACGCCCAGTTTGTTAGTTGTCACAATAGTGATGTTCCCTGCACTGTCCTGGGTGAATATCTGGTTATTTCCTTAGGATGAGTTCTTAGTGGTATGATTATTGCATCAGTGAACATGTCCAGAGTTCCCATCAGCCCCTAAGAAAGATCAGTCTGCAGGCTTTCGTGCCCTCGGCCTCCTCAATCCTAGGGGTGGTGTTGTGTTAACCACTAATTTTGCTAAGGAAAACTTCTTCCAGATGTACATGTTTGGGGTTTTTTCCATGAGGTCGAACCTTCCTGTGGGACAGTTTTCTTTTGTGAATTATCTGTTCCGCTTCTTCTCTCTTGGCCATTGTGTGCTTCTCTTAATGGCTTTGGGAGCTCTTGTCGGTAGCAGGGGGTGTGTTCCATGCCTAGCGAGGTTGCTGTGCTGAGGCTGAGGAGGCTCCCCACTCCCTCTCCTAGCTTGCCCAGGGCCGTCAAGAGGAGAATCAACGCGCTGAAGCAGCTCCAGGTGAGGTGTGCACACATAGAGGCCAAGTTCTACGAGGAGGTGCATGACCTGGAGAGGAAGTACGCAGCCCTGTACCAGCCTCTGTTCGACAAGGTGGGCAGCGCTGGGGGGCGGCCTCTGCCTGGCGCCTGGGGACCCCCGTCTGGGAGACGTGGTGCAGACATTCTTCTGGCTCTGGAGTTTCCGAGTTGCCTCAGGTTCTAAGGGGTTTTGTATTCACACAGAGGAGAGAATTCATCACTGGTGACGTGGAGCCGACAGACGCAGAGTCAGAGTGGCACAGTGAAAATGAAGAGGACGACAAGTTGGCTGTAAGGTTCTGGGAAAAAATGAGTGGGTGGACTATGTGTTCTGTAAGAAACAACAACGTTTCCATGGGCTTTTTTTTTTTTTTTTTTTTAGTTATAGGTGGACAAATATCTTTATTTTATTTTTATGTGGTGCTGAGGATTGAACCCAGTGCCTCATGCATGCTAGGCGAGCACTCTACCTCTGAGCCACAACCCCAGCCCCTGATTTGGTGGTTTTAAATCAGCAGTAAAGCTTTTTCCAGAGAAAAGCGCTCCTAGCAACAGGTGCTTCTTCCCCCTCAGGTTGGGCCCTTGGGTCCCTGTGGCGAGGGAGGCACAGCTCCTTTCGGTGTGTCTGAGGCACTGTGTTGGAATAAAGGATTGGGTGAGCCAGGAGCAGTCACACCCCAGTGAAGGTCATGGTCCAGAGAAAGCGGGGGTCAGCAGGGGTGCCACACACCTGTGTCCCTAGTCACTGGAAAGCTAAGGGTGTGTGGGGGGAGACCTCGTGGAATACCCGCCGCCAAGTGCAGTGCAACATGACAGTGTTTTCCTTTTGTGGTGCTGGGGGTGGGACCCAGACACCCTGCCCCTGGGCCACACCCCATGCACATCAGCCTCATTTCACATTCACAACGCAAGTAGGTTTATCTTATAGCATTATGCTTTTTTAAAATGTGTGTTAGTTTTGGTAGCCATCTATAGTTTGGTCTTTTGGAAATGGGCAGGGCCTGGCCTGGTTGGAACTCTGACTATGGGTGAGAGTCCGTTCCTTACAACCCAGGACACCCTGCCTTTGCCAGCTGGGAAGCCCTGCGAGGCTGTTCTGAGCTAGCCAGCCCTATGACCAGGAACCTCCCTCCGTGTTCCTTTTCCCTGGGGCCATGTTGTTCCAAGACCCCCATCCACGCTGCCAGGTGCCTCTGGTCACCACCCCGATGTTTGCCTAGTACTTGCTTATCCACATGTGTAGCTGGGCAGTTTCTCTATGCTAAAGGTACTGCTGCATGCAGCAAAGCTTTGTTTTTCTTTCGTCAACTCCCCTGCCTTGCACCCCATTTTAAATAAATGTGGGTTCAGTCTGCTGACATTTGCCACTTCAGGCTTTTCCCCCACTGTGACATTGTGTCATGGGTGCTTCTGGATATAGTGGCTTGAGTGATTTTTTTCCCTCCATGGTGTGGAGACACCAAGTCGGAAGGAAGAAGTTTCAAGTAGAAGTTTGTGCAGTACTAAAATTTCGCTCCACTAAGCCTTCAGGCCAATTGCTAATTTGTTTTTGTGACAGCTATTCTGTTTTGCATCTTTATGGTTTAGGGAGACATGAAAAACAAAGTAGTTATAGCCGAGAAACCAGCAGCAGAAGAGCCAAATCCCAGAGGAATCCCGGAGTTCTGGTTCACCATCTTCAGAAACGTGGACATGCTCAGTGAGCTGGTGCAGGTGAGCCGCTGCTGCCTGGTGGCTGGGAGGTACTTTCCCTGGGCAGGCGTTTGGGCAGCAGCCCCGTCCCTGCCTCGAAGCTCTGGAGGCAAGGCTGGCAGTGCAGGCGGAGTCTCACCCTGTGTGGGTCGCTCCCCCTCCTGGGGCCACGCATCGCCCTCAGAGCCTGTTCACAGGTAGGGGCTGCTCATGGGCTATGAGCAGCAGCAGCTGAGGACAGGACCCTAGCGGGCGGGTCAGCCAGCTGGAGGAGGGCTTTGAGTGTCTGCGCGTCTCCTCCTCGGGGTGCTGTTGGAAGGGCCTTGTGCCCCTCGCTGCATACATGCAAGACAAGCTGCTGGTATGTTCTGACCATTGCCATTGAAAAGTCTCTTTTTAACAAAAAGGAGTAGCCAGCCTTTCTGTGTCCCACTCACCCACCTTCCTGTAACCAGAGAAGTGGTGTGTGACTTTCCTGGAAGTGAGTCACAGAGTTCTGCCCTAGCCTCATTGACTGACCTGCTGCACGGTCACAGAAACTGCATATGGACATCCAGGATGGCACAGCTCGACCCACAGGGATGGTGCTTCTGCTAGGGCACAGCCACCTTGTGCCCTGCCCGGAGTTTTGTGATACTGAGTGGTGACTTTGAGGGTCCCTTGTTGCAGTCTTTACTGCCTGCTTGTGATGGTCCTGCCTGGCTTGCCTTCACTCACGCCATACCTGGGAAAGGGTGGGAAGAGTAGCTGCTTTCTCACTCCAGGCCTGGGAGGCATCTGAAGTAGAAGAGCCTTGGTTTTCCTGATCCAAGCTTCCTTTTGGTATGAAAAGATGAGATTAACGAAAACTGGACCATACTTTGTAAAGCCTGCTACCGGACAGGGTTTGGAAAGATGCAATCTCTACCAGCTATATTTTTACCTATGTTCGACTCACCTGGCAACTTTTGAAACTACTTAGCGTCATTAGTGCCTCTCATGCTGCCCCCAAATCAGTGAGGTGACTTTCTTGGTGCTTTTAATTTGTTCTGGTTGTTTTGTGGTCCTGGGGATGGAACTCAGGGCCTCGAGTTTTGCCACTGAGCCACACCCCAGCCCTGGTGGTATAAGAAGCTAATGTATTCTAAGGATTATAAAAACCCCATTGACGGGCTGGGGCTGGGGCTCGGTGGTAGAGCACTTGCTTATAGCACATGTGAGGCCCTGGGTTCAATTTTCAGCACCACATGCAAATAAGAAAATAAAACCAAAGATCTACCAGCAACTTAAAAAAACTGATAGCAGGGGTAGCGCAGTCCCACCTCCGGAGGCTGAAGCAGGACAATCACGAGTTCCATTCAGACTGAGTGATTATGCGAAACCCTGTCTCGAAATAAACTAAAAAGGGCTGGGATGTGGCTGGGTGGTAAAGCACCCCGGATGTGACTCCCATTACCAAAGGGAAGAGCACCACATCAGGGGAGCAGAAAGAGGAAAGGCGGGTTGTGGATCTGGTCAGGGTGGGGCCTGCGCGCTTGGCCAGGCACAGCGAGGCGAGGCTCTGACGGGTAGTGGGAGATCTGGCCGCCGTCCTCTGTGTGTGGCAGCGTCACATGGTGTTAGGGACCTGAGGGCAATTACGCTGCTGCGCAGGGATGGAGGCAGTTCTTACTTCCTATGTGGAGAGGGAGGTCACTTGTCCTGTTCCTCTTGGTTCACGTGAAATCTCTGCCTGGTGTCCTTTAATTCTGTGCTGGGGCATCTCCAGGATCAAGTGCTGCCGACGGGCTAGGCCCTGGGCCTCTCGGGGTTCCCTGCTCATGGGTACCTGGTGGCTGAGGGGGAGATCACAGCTGAAGTGTTCGGGTTGAGGACAGTAGTGCTTGTGCCCTGGTGGAGCTGGGGCTGTTCATATGGCAGTTGCACAGCAAGCCCAGTGCTGTCTGCTCTGGCCCTGAGGAACGGGCTTCCTTTCTGAATCGCGTGAGCCGAGTAGGTTTAGAGACGTGCTAGGTCTCTTATTACTGTGGCTGGCTTTTGCCGGCATCTTTTCTGTGCTATCACCAGAACTTAAAGTTGGGAAGTCGGCAGTTACCAGATTGACTTCCTAAATGTCAGTGGAACTTCCAGGCTCTGGGCCCACAGGCTTCAGGGTGAAGTGGCTCTGGTGGCGCACATCCCTGGACACGCGCGTGAGCATTGCAGCTGGCCACAGCCGTAGTTTGCTTTTTCTCATGGACTCATACAATGATGGGTTAGGTGAGCTCTGAGGTGAGATGACGGTCACTTGTAAAAGTGCACAGTCACATGAGTTGTAAGTTCTTGCAGGTTGGACAGTGGGCACACTTTGTGCTGTGGATTTGGGATCTTTACTGCCACAGATGGGAAAGTGGCCACCAGTGTGGGTTGGTGGCACTGTTCCTCTGTGTGTGGTGGCAGGTGGCACAGGAGAGCAGACAGGTACCAGAGGTAGTTTTACAGCCAGCATTGATGGTCACTGTTTTGCCAGCCAGAGATAGATGGCACATGGTTCTTGGCATATGTTGTTGCCATCACTTTTGGGAAACAGGTGGGGCCACTCCTGGAGGTGGGTCCTGGGTCAGGATCCAGGTGGCCAGCCACCCTCGGGCATGCCCACTGCCCTACCCTGCACACCTTGGTTTAAAAGCCAGTTGGAATTTTTTTTTCCCCTATTTTTCCTTAGGAATATGATGAACCAATCTTGAAACACCTGCAGGATATTAAAGTGAAGTTTTCCGACCCTGGCCAGCCTATGGTGAGTACCAGCTGCATTTCAGTTGGCTGTGGGGCCTGAAGTTGGGAGCTGGAGGTCCAGACCCTGTCGCCTGTTGCCAGGCAGCCCTGAGAGGGATGTTCCCCAGGGTCAGGCTTCATAGCCTGTGCCCTTTGTGCCTCACTGAGCACTGGAGTTGGGTGAGTGGCAGCATGGCATGGGCCACATCCTGCCCTGGGCATTGTGACACACAGCTCCTCAGAAACCTGTGGTAGAAGGACCCCCTAGAGCACACAGGTTCAAGACCAGCCTGCGCAATATAAGGAGGCCTCATCTCAAAAGGGAAAGGATGGGAGGTGTGTGCACCAACAGGAGCACCTGCACGGAGGTCCCAGGTACTGAGGAGGGCCCGTCAGGGTTCAGGCTCAAGTGTAATGGCAGATGCAACTGAAGAATGCTTTCCTACTCTGGTGTCACAAAACATCTTTCTAGAATGACCGTCCCACAGGAGTGTCAGTGGGAGTGGGCCTGCCCCCGGCCGTCCCCTGGCCCTCCAGGTTGCACTGCTCGTAATCCTTCAGCCTGGCTGTGGCTGGCGGGTTCCATTCCAGTGCCACAGCATCTCCAGCAACACATGACTGACTGACCAGTGGCTTTCAGTTTCAGGTCTTGGAGACAGTGTTTTAGGAGGGGCTGTGGGTTAGGGATCTTCGGAGCCTGGGACCTGGGACCGGCTCTGTGGCCTGCTTGGCCTTCTGTGACTTCTCCCAGTCTGGTGTCCAGGGCACCTGCAATTCTGAGGTTCTGTTTTCTTGCTCTTCTCTCTTGCCCATAGATCTTCCAGATGAAGTTGACATTTTCCCTCTGGGGAAGCCCCTTTTTCTCACTGGTCGCTTGCTTGGTGATTGCCGGGGTCCCTCTTCCTTTCTCAGCATCTTCTTGTCTTCCACCTCACATGGCTCTTAGCCTTGGTGTAGGCTTGTCACCTCCTCTTTCCTCTTGTCTCCCTTGTTATAAAAGCCAGGTGTGCTTCTTAGGGAGAATGTAGAAAGCAGAGTGTCCCCTTCTCAGCAGCTGTCCCCAGCTCTGCGTTTCCCCACCGTCTTTCCTTTAGAAGTCCTGTGCAGATCCAGGAAGGCAAAACCGCCTGACTCCAAGGGGGCCACCTGTGCAGAGGCGCAGGTCACTCCTGGCTGGGGAGCTTGTGTGGCTCTGGCCATCGGCTCTGTGTGACCTTCCCCAGGTGTGCCAGCCCTCCCCAGTCGGCTACGACTCACTGTTGCAGCTCCTTGGTGTGAGGAGGTGGAAGAGTGGCCACCAGCTAACTCTCTCCCTGCTGGGGGAGGTGGTCTGATTTTAGTTACGTTCTTTTGTTGGGGTGAGGCTGGCGGGTGGGGGTGGGTGGCATGCCAGATTGTGGCAGATCGGCAGTGCAGTCTGACCTTAGGTCTCTTCTCTCTTGATTAAGCAAGGGCAGCGGGGTCAGAAAAATTAGAAAATAGGGAGAAACGTGATATTGAGAAGTGACAAAAGGAAGTGAGGAGGGGAGGGAACACGGTCCCACCTGTGCAGAAGTGCTGGTGGCTGGGACCAGAAGCAGCAGTGTGCTGGCATCTGAGGCAGCCTCCCTGACCACTGCTGGATGCTTGCTAGCTGCCCTCTCTTACAGTGCTGGGAGTGGCATCCAGGGCGTGCGTGGTGTGTGCTGGACAGCCCCCCAGCCCACTTTGCATTGCCCACCCTTGCTGTGGGGTTTATTTTGAGCTCTTCTGGTCAGGAGGGTGTGTTTCCTCAGGGGCTGCGGTGCCTGCCACGGCTTCCCGTCTTCTCTCCCACTGACTGCTTTGCCAGGACCAGGCTCTGTTCTGATTGCTTTGGTGTCACATGTCGCTGTGTCCAGCCAGATGGTTGCCTCAAGCAAGACAGAATTCCTGGAAATCTTGGATTAGGGTCAGGGAATGGGCTTTTTACTTAACATCTGGGTCCTGCCCCGTGTCCCTCCTGAGCCTGTGCACATCCTAGGAGTAAGCCCAGTGTCCCGGAAAGTCCGTCTGCCCTGCGGTGTGTTTTGTACGTTTACCCCCAGAGAAGGGCATCTCTGTCTTTCAGCTGTGTGGCTTGTGGGTGAGCTCTTCCTTTGGCTGGCTCGGCCTCACCCACACCTGTCTCTGTGCATACCTCTACTTGCTGCTCAGGGTGCCCATTTCCTCCAGGTCTGCCAGGGCTTCCCGAGTGCCGGGCCTGCTCTGTCCTCCTGCATCTTGGTGCTGTCTTCTGTCAGCAGAGCAGCATGGTTGCTGCCCACTTTCTCTGCCAGCCCACAAACCAGAGCCCTGTTGCCGGTGGGTAGACTTTACGTGGTACTGACTCTGAGTTTCTGCTTCAGTCTTTTGTGTTAGAGTTCCACTTTGAGCCCAATGACTACTTCACCAACCCAGTCCTGACGAAAACGTACAAGATGAAGTCAGAGCCCGACAAGGCCGACCCCTTCTCCTTTGAAGGTCCTGAAATAGTGGACTGCGATGGGTAAGAAGAGGCATTCCTGACTTTCCTTGAAACAAAAGCAGAAGGTAGTTTGGAATGTTATGGCAAAAAGATAGTAGGAATGATGTGCAAAGTCTCGTACTTGCTTAAACGCACAGGGTTGCAAGTGCGTGCAGATGCAGAGCGGGGTGCCGTGGGAAACGGGTCTCAAGGTTTTGTGCCATCTGAACGCAGAGGGTTGGGTTTCCTAGACACCAACACTTAAACTTGTTTGGGAAGGGCAGGTACAGGGGTTGACCCCAGGGCGCTCTACCACTGAGCTACACCCCAGCCTTTTCTATATCTTATTTTGAAACAGAGTCTCACTAGGTTACCGAGGCCCCAACCTTGCAGTCCTCCTGCATCAGCCTCCCTAGCAGCTGCAATTTAGAAATGTGTGCTTCAGTTTAGCTATGCGTGGTGGGTGGTTCATTCTTCAGAACCACCAAAAAACAAAACAAAAAAACTGCATATGAGTATTTTGTTGAATGAATAAGTCAGTGCGGATCAGTATTGCTCTAGTGGTTTCTTTTGAAATTGGCAGCGTATCTGCTGTTTGCTTGGGTGATTTTTATCTCTGTAGACCACCAAGGACAGAATCTGACTTAGGAAATTGTTCTATTTTGAATTAACATGCTTATGCATTAGAAGCAAATATTTATTGTTGAAAATCTCTGTGTGTAAGTAGTTTGGGACTCTTTATTAAAATACCGCTAGGCTTGAAGGACTGAGTGGTGAGGAAAGATAGTCACAGGGCAAGGCCCTCATGCGGAGGGCCTGGCCTTCCCAGGTGTGCTCTTGCATAGATGACACTCAGCTGCTACTAGGGCCATGTGTGTCCAAGGTGACAGAGAGGCAAAGGTGGGCACATCCCAGGCCCTGCGTTCCTCGCTGGTTGTCAGCTGTCACAGTGGTCCCCTGTTGGTTGACTTGGGACTTTGAGTGCAGGTATATGAGCGTGACTCCACATGTTCTCTGGGCTCGGTTAGCAGATGGCAGGCAGGGTCCTGCTGTCGTGCAGACCTGAAGAGGCCTCGACACAGAAAACACTTTCATGCTCCGTGTGGGACACCTGGGGGATGGGTGCCCTCCTGCTTTCTGAAGTCAAAGCAGCAGGCAGGCTTCCAGTCCTGGAGCCCATGTCAGCTCTCCTGAGTGGCACCACTCAATGGCCATCTCCCCTGCAGGTGCACCATTGACTGGAAGAAAGGAAGAAACGTCACTGTCAAGACCATCAAGAAGAAGCAGAAACACAAGGGGCGGGGCACTGTCAGGACCATCACTAAGCAAGTCCCCAACGAGTCATTTTTCAACTTCTTCAATCCTCTGAAAGGTCTGTTGGCAGGGCTGCTGGCTGTGTCCTGCATATGAAGTTGTGTGGCTGTGTGACGCGGAGTATTCCCAGCTGTCTCAGCAGGGAATGGTGGCCGCACCCCGAGTTGCGCTTGGTGCCCAGGCGAGCATTCCAGGCAGGGTCTGGGGCGGTGGAGTAGGAGTGTCATCCGCAGGGGAAGAACAGGCCTTTTCTTACATCTGCCTAGCTAGTCCCACCCAGGAACCTATAGCTGCACTTCAGGGAAGCCAAAGGGGCACCTGCTCCTCTGCTGCTTCCTGGGCACCCCTGGGGAGCCAGACGTCGCTCTGCAGGACCCCTCTTGACCTCTCATCATCAGGCTCCTTTCCTTAGCACACTCTTCCCTCCTGCCTCCACATCGGACACAAGCTGGCGCTGGTTCCTCATTGGCACATAGCGTGTCATGCACATGGTGTGAGGGTTGGTTCTGCATCAGCACCAACTTCGCTTTTTTGTGGGTTTTTTTTTTTTCTTGGTATTAGAGATTCCACCTCCGGCACTTGACTACTGAGCTAGGGATTCTACCCTGGGTACTTGACCACTGAGCTATATCTCCCATTCTTTTTTTACTTTGAGACAGGGTTTCAGTAAGTTGCCTAGGCTAACCTGGAACTCACCGTCCTCCTGATGTGGCCTCCCAAGTTGCTGGGACAGCAGCATGGCCGTTGTACCTAGCTGCACATAGAGTTCTGCAGGGCACGAGTTAAATCCCTTTGTGGCATAAATGCACCAAGTGGCCTGTCTGAACCCTCATAGGCTTTCCTCCTGGTGACCCTTTAGACTCTGCCCTGCTTTTCTGAACCTTGGCCTTTTCTGCAGAAGTTTGGGCAGTAGCCGATGACTGGGCAGAGCAGACGGGACTGGGGCAGCGTCAGAAGTGGGTGAGATGGCCAAGGCTCCCTCGGCTGCCAACTGTCTGTTCTGTGCCGGTCGATCGAGCTTTCTCCTCTGGGTTTAAGACTTGGTTGTCAGTGTAACTCAGACTTGTTTTGCCTTTTCTTTTTCTAGCGTCGGGTGATGGAGAATCACTGGTAAGATGTGTGTTGTCAGAAGTCTTTATTTCCTGGGGGACTGCCTGCCCTTTCTAATCCATTCCCGCTCCCGTAGGCCCTGGGGTTCATGTGAAGTTCTCGCACCTGGGGATGGCTCTCCACCTTGGCTTCAGGAATAGACATTGTCCTTCTGTCCACCCATTCCCCCTGCGGCTCTGATACCCTCTACTCTGAAACCTTTGGGCAGGAAAAGAGCCATAGGCCCACTTTGGAAATGCCTAAGCTCATTTTGAGTGGCTTTTTTTGTGTGTGGTAGCCATCACCCAGAAGTGCAGAAATTTGGTGTTTGAAGTCCAATAAACCAGAAGGGAGGGGGATGGAGTGTTTATCCCACTGAAATGAGTTAACATGTTGGCTTTTCCCTCTCAGGATGAAGATTCTGAGTTCACGTTAGCCTCGGATTTTGAGATTGGACACTTCTTCCGTGAGCGGATTGTGCCTCGGGCTGTGCTTTACTTCACTGGGGAGGCCATCGAGGATGACGACAATGTGTGTGGCTGGGGACAGGTGGGGGTGGGCTGTCTTGGGTACCTAGTCTCTGGGGATGTGCATGCAGGGAAGGCCTGCGAGCCTCAGATTTGCATGGCACCTGGACAGCGGCATGGGCCCCACTGGTCTCCTGTGTCTGGGAAACAGGAGAAGGGGGCTCCTAGAAGGAGCTGCAAGGAAAGCGGGTTTCTGAGGCTGTTGACCCCCATCACCTGGTTAGCCTGCTTGCTGACTCTCCCCACCGTGCCCTGTGGAAGGCCGCCTCAGGGAGGTCTGGCCTCCCTGAGCAGTTATTGGCAGTGGACTCACTCTAGCTGGGGCAGGACAGTCAAACAGAGACCTCTGCTCCCACAGGCAGGCCCTGCGCTTTGCTAGAAGCCATCAGTGGTGGCCGAGGCCCGGGTTGCTCCTAGTGGTCTCAGTTGCTGGATGTGATTGGCTGTGCAGCCTCTGCTGTCTGCCTGCAGAGCTCAGGCTCCCTCCCTCCCGAGGTTTGCTGAAGCTTCCTATAGGGGCAGGAGCTCAGGCAGGATCCAGGGGCCTGGCCCACTTCCCACCTCCCTGTGTACTGAGGGTCCTCTGGCAGTGGCAGGAGGACAGGCCAGTCTTGTGTGTTGGGAGGGCGGTCTTAGACTCATGTTTGACTTGTGAAATACAGCTGCCCGGCCAAGGATGAAGGTGGTCAGTGTGAGGACACATGGACATTCAGCTCAGTGTTGGGTTCCTAAGGCCCAAAGCAGCTGCAGAAATGTAGGTCTTAGCTCCTGGTGGTCACTTGGAGGTCTTGACTAGCACTTTCCAGTAGCGTTTTCCTTTAACATGGAAATGTGCCTGCTCTGTCCAGTGTGGCTGGACTGCCCACAGGGGCCATTGTTTTGACGCCTTGAAAATGACTCTTGTGACCAAGGCAGTAGTGTTTAGTTAGTGTAAGGGTAAGGGCGAGTGGACATCAGAAAGCTCACTGCAAGTCAGGTCTTCGGCTCTTAATCGTGAACCCATGGATTTGGAAGGCCCTGTGGGCGGTGTTTGCTGCTGCTGAGCTTAGGAGGACCAGCTCCTGCGCAGCTCCTTAGATGAGTCCTTTTCCTTCCCTTAGTCATGGTGTGCCTGTACCTTAGTATCCTCCTCTGTAAAAGGAGCTGATGGCAATGACGCCCCTTGTGCCAGGCATTTGGGCTTTAGCAGGTGCTGGTGTAAGAAGTGCCTGGTGGATGTTCAGTGCGGGAGGAAGGGCAGTGGTCTGCTTGGTTGGATAGGCCTCAGGCCCACACCGGAGCCTCCGCTAGGTAGGTTCCCTAAGCCTGAGAGGCTGGTGCTTGGATCTTGGGGACTTGGTGCATGAAGTTCTTCATGTGTGGCTTTCTAAAGTGTAAGGTGCAAGTCACCCCACTGCCACTCAGGAAAGAGGAGGAAACACGTCTCTGTAGCCAGTTTCCTCGGTTGCTGTGCAGTGCCCGAGGGATGTCTGTGCCCGGGAAGTCTGGCACATGCCAGGTGCCGTGGCTCTGCAGCCCGCAGCCATGGGGTTGCATTCACCTTTGCCTCTGTCTCGTGTGGAGCTTGAATCTGAGTCTGACCAGCCTTGCGTTGGGTGGAGGATGCGTCGACCAGGACAGCTGGCTGTAAGCGGAGGTCCTCCTCTAGCTGACTGTAGGGTGAAACACCAGGGCTTATTGCACTGCTTTTGGATAAAGGCCACTTTGCCCCTTGCATGAGGTATGAAATGACAGCAAAGTGCCTGCATGTGATAGAATTATGCTAGCAGTCATTTAACTCATCACGCTGCAGACACCTGTTCCTGGCAGCCCTGCTTCAGCATGAAGACCACAGTGGGCCCTGGATCCAGCAGGCCCTTGCTGGCAGCTCCCTGGGCAGCCCTCCCCATCCTTACCTCTGGTCTTTGAGTGAATTTAGGTTTCCCACATCCTAGGAAAATGCAGAGCTCATGAGCACCTGGCCCCCTCTAAGCAGGCGGTGCGCGTCCCAGAACCCAGGCAGCCGCACACCTGCCTCCGAGTCGCTGGGGGGCCACCACCGCACAGCAGCTGGGCGTCTGCTCTCCAAGCCAGACTGGTGGGGGCGCTTGGTGGGGGCTGGCGTCTAGGGCAGCATGACCGTGGTTTTTCACACCTGAAAAGGCTTTTTCATTTTCTCCCCCTCCAGTTTGAAGAAGGCGAGGAAGGAGAGGAGGAGGTAAGGAACCCAGGCAGGAAATGTCATCCTTCCCTCACAGTGTGAGTCGCAGGCCACATGGTGCCCTCTCCCCATGGGGTACCTTTGACCAGCAGTTGGCTTGTAAGATGTGCCTTGGAGAAGTTCCTGAATGGGTGTCACCTCCCTGTAAAGAAGCGTGTGCCTTGCTGGGTTACCTGAGGGGGAGACGCCCCAAACGGCTTGCCTCCAGGAGAGGAGAGCAGCCCTGGTGGGCAGTGGCACCCACACCCTCCTTCTGAAACAGAGGGTTGCTTCTGCGTAGTGGACTCCGGGAAGTCCAGCCTGCAGTTGACTCTCCTGGCTGACTCACTCCTTTTCACACAGGAATTGGAAGGTGACGAGGAGGGAGAAGACGAGGATGATGCCGAAGTTACCCCCAAGGTCAGTCATCCTGAGGCTCCTGACCCGCAGTGCTGCACTGCTGGACTTGGACCGATGCTCCCCACTTTGGGGCGGTGGCGGTGCATGTAGTTGTGTGTGTGTGATTTTCTACTGAGAACACTTAAAATGTGTCAGGAAAACACTTGGATGAGGAGCTATCTGGACCCTTGGTGACAGACAGGTTTAGTACAGGTGTTCAGGAGAGAGCCTCAGGCCTTCCCACAGCCGCGTCTCACCTGCAGACTCCATCAGCTGCTCACCTTTAACTCCAGAGCTCACCTCTCGGGGATGATTAAACTAACCACTCGGCCCGCTTGGGTGTGGTGGGAGAGATGTGAGGAGGGGGCTCTGAGGGCTGCTGTGGCTCAGAGGCAGAACAGTGGACGCGAGGACATCACCTAGCTGTCCTTGGGCTGAGGGTATTGAGAAGACAGCGCAGGTGTCTAGACGTGTCTCAGGTAGCCTTAATAAACGACAGAGTTCACTGAGGAGATTTAAAAGGAAGGCGAGAGAGCGGCCCCTGGTTTGCCTGGACCTGGTCCTCCTGGGGCCTTGGGCACACACCACCATCCAGAGCTGCACTGGTGCAGGGCTGAGCTGTGGGCACCTCTGAGCACAGGGTGGGCTGTGGGCTGTGCCGGCACCCGGTGTTTCCGTGGCCTGTCTCTGACCAGCTGTCCTTCCCTGTCTGTGCTGTTCGCCTGGGTGGGGTGTGCACTCGAAGCTGAGGGTGCGGGGCCGACATTGAGAGGAGCACGTATGCACAGTGGATCCCTCAGGAGGGTGGAGAAGGGCTTCTCAGAAACAAGCTTCACAAATACCACTCGGCGAGCTTGGGGGACGCCCCTCCCGTAAAGGTTGCCCTGTGGGCCTCAGGCTCTGCGCTACAGTGTGCTTGGCCGTGGGTGATGGGCTCCCAGCCGCAGTCCACTTGTGGGAGCCAGGACGTGTGGCTGCCCTGTGGGCGTGTGGCGGGCCTGAGGCAGGTGTGTGATTGGCCGGGTGAGCACATGGTCTGATGTGGGTGGAGGGCAGGACTGGAGACACCTGCCAGTCCCTGTCCTCGGTTCCGTGGCCTGTGTGGTACTTGTGTCACTGTTCTGCAGGCTCTGTTCCTTCGTTTCTTCTCCCGTGTCATGTCCTCCCTTCTGTCTCTTCCCATGCCTGTTTCTGAAGGAGCATCTACCAGGTGGCTCCAGGTGGTCAGCATGGAGCGAGTCCCATGCTGACCCCTGCAGCCTGGTTTCGCTGCCCGGGTTGGGGCATGGCTGGGGCACTGATGGCTGATGAGCTCTCCACCACATTCCTGAGTTGTCCGCTGTCCTTGGCTCACGGTGCCCTGTCTCTGTCCCCTCACGTGCACCTGTCCAGGGTGTCTGCAAGGCCAGGATGGGGGGTGTGGCTGGTGTTGGGGTGACCAGGCTCTGGAACCGGGCACTGCGCTGGCCTGCTGGAGGGACAGCTCTGCTGCGTTGAGTTGCCCACGTCCAGCACTCTGCGGCCCTTCTGTGTTAGGAGAATCGTGGCTGTCTCTTCCTGTATAATTTTGTGCATTTCGTTTTCTTTCATGCTGACGGTTCCTTTCAATTTTTTTCCCCATTTAGGTGTAATTTTTGTCTGTTAATCATTCATACGTTCCTAGGTAAGGTGGAATCCATTCGTACCTAACTTCCAAACTGCTGGTCTATACTTTGCCGTGTGATGCTTGGACCTGGGGGACACAGAAAGTCGCCCTCCCGGCATATGTGGTGTGCTGCAGGGTGCACGGGCTTCCCATGGGGAGTGCTTTGTGCAGGGCCCGTGGCTGGTCTTGGAAAACCAACAGGCAGAAGCTAGATCTGGCATCTTCCTGAGCCCTGGGTGGCACTGCTGGTGAAGGAGTAGCCCTGAGGCCTAGGGGCACTGCTAGTGATGGTGGTGCTGCTATTCAGGAGGGACCACAACAGGCAGCCCCAGGGGTCAGCAATTTGCAGAATCAGAATGGCCCTGACACACTTGTTGTCCCCAGCCGTACCGCTGTGGAGATGGGTCAAATGCTGGCAGTAGAACAGAACCAGTCATAGGTGGAAGTGAGCCATTGGGAGCTGCCTCCACCCATGTTCAACCTGGCAGCTCCCTTGGTCACCGGGGTGGTGGCAGTGGGGTTGGCAGAGATCCTTGCCATGCACCAGACCCTCCCCCGAGGAAGAGGAAAGGCGGGAGCAAGAAGTCACAGCAGAGCCCCTGCCCATTGGCATAGGCAGACTTTGGTTTACCAGGGGAGGCTTGGACCTGGTGCCCTGTGAAGTCTTGCCATAGCATTTTGACCCCAGCAGCTAATCTGAGCCAGGCCAAGTGCATGTCGTCCGTCAGTGTTGAGCATGTTCTCCCCAGGGGCCTATGGCCCCTGTCCTTGGTGCAGCTGGTGTAGCCAGCTGTGTTAGTGGCCTGGCTTTACCCTCCCTTGGCCTGACGGGTATCCCAGAAGCCCAGCTGCAGGAGTCCCATGGTGGGCAGGGTCTGGTCAGGTGGCTGCCTTTGAGAACATCCGCTCCCTTCTGAGCAGTCGTGTTGGCATTGAGTGAGCAAGCTCTGATCAGAGGTAGTGACATGCGGGTGCTGGGTGTGGCCCAGGTGTGGAGCACTTGGTCTATGGCCCAGTATGCGCAAGGCCCCAGGTTTGATCCCCAGTACCAAAAATACAAAAAAATAAATTGACGTGCAGGACACTCAGTTGAGGTGCACCTTAGTCTCTGCCTGTGTGTGATGTACACATGGCGAATGTCCGTTAATGAAACCCATTCCCAGAGTTCTTCCTGCCCACCTGCAGGAGCTGGGTGCTGCATTGCTCCGTAGCCCAGCAGGGTTCGGTCACAACTGTCCTCATGCCCAGAGGGGAGGCAGCTCCTCAGACCTGGGGGCCCAGCACCAGCGAGGCCCACTCGTTGTCCTCCCTCAGAACTGTCATGTGCAACCAAGTCAGTGGGGTTTTTGTGTTTTCTTTGTTTTGAGTAAGTGGAACCCAGGTCCTCTCGCACACCAAGCATGTACATTGTAGCCCTGAGCCACATCCCCAGCCTTTTTATTTTGAGATAGGGTCTCCCTAAATTACCCAGGCTGACCTCAACCTTGGAATCCTCCCGCCTCAGTCTTGGTTTTATTTAAGACCAGTAGATGCCATTCTGGTTGAAAATTAACATGGATTCACTGGTGTACCATAGGCTAAATGACACAGTACTCTGTGTTATGTGACACTGGGTTTAATTCACGCGTACATAGGTATGTGGAGACTCCATCTGCTCAGAGCTCTAGTTCTCCCTGCAGAACCTCTTGAATGGCTTTCTTTTATTTGCAGTGCCTGGGGTAGAACCCAGAGCCTTCTGCATGCTGGGCAGGAGCTGTACCCCCACCTGCACCCCAGAGCCTGGTTTCTGTTTCCTAGCCCAGTCCCAATGTGGCAGCACACACGGATGTCCTGCTCTGGCTGCACCTACACAGGGCACCCCCACTTCCCCACAGTCTTCTGTGTTGGGCCACCGCTGGGTTCAGCCTGGACAGACTGACAGCACTCAATTACGTCTTTTTGGCCTAGGTGTGAGGCTGGACTTGGGTTCCTTGGGCAGCCTGCTGGGCAGGTGAGGCTTAGGAAGGGTGATCTGCCTCCTAGAGCAGCTTGTCATTGTGCCAGGCAGAGAAGTGCAGCGTGGGTTGCAATTTAGACCAGGGACAGAGGTTTTTCCTTGATGCTTTTATGCATCTGTAATATGTACTTTCTATCCTTTAAGTGACTTCTCAAAGCATGAACTGTAACCCAAGCTTCCGTGGATAGGCTTACCTTAGATGTTTTTTAGCAATTGGGTTTGGTCTGGGTGGTACTGGAGATTGAGCCAGGGGGCACTTTACCACTAAGCTGTATCCCAACCCTTTTATTTTCTGTTTTGAAACAGAGTCTCCATACGTTGCACACACTGGCCTTTCACCTTACCATCCCCTTACCTCTGCTCAAGTGGCTGGGGTTACTGGGATTACAGGCATGACCACCAGCCCTCACCACACATTCCTTTGAACCACATGGCACAGGCCTTTCCTAGACATTGAGGCTTATCAAGTTATAGTCAGAGTAAATTTTTTAAAATCTTGGCTGCCAGGAATTGTGTAACAGATTGATAAATATCCCAGCTCAGAAGTAGTTAGTGTGAAATCATCATCATTTCTTAGGCTGTACTCAGCTCTACGCTGTGTTCCTGGGGTTCTGGGTGGGCTTGGGAGGTGTGTGATCTGGGAGTGAGTCAACCTGCCCCTCAGGCGGGGATGCGTTTTTCCTGGTGACTGTACAGGAGGGCAGAATTTCCCACTGCTGAGACTGGGCGTGGGCGAGCTCACCCACAGGTGGTGAGCCCCTCATCACCTGTGGGTGCACCCTAGGCTGCTGCTGGGGCGTGAGTTGCTTGAACGCTATTCCCAGCTAGTGAGAAAAGCAGCCCCTCTACGCAGGACGCTTTCCCGCTGAGGTTCATGGCCAGGACTGCACCTCAGCCGTGAGGACTGTTGGATGGGCAGTAGGGCGGGCCCCCTGTCTTACATGGAGCCCTATGCAGATAATTAACCTGTGGCCTTGGGAGACCCTCTAGTCTAATCCAGCAGGAGTCTCCAAGACAAAGTAGCTGGGCTCCGTGGCCACACCAGTCACGTCAGCAGCTGGGAGGCTGAGGCAGGAGGGTGGAAGTCCCACGCCAGCCTGGGAGACTTGGGTCCTGTCTCAGAAACCCAGAGGGCCGGGTGGGGGGTAGCTCAGTGGTAGATTGCCCCTGGGTTTAGTCCCGGGTGTCCCGGCATCCCGAGGTCCCTGTGCAGCAGCCCTCTTGTCAGGTGGGGAGCTCCCGGGTCTTGGTCGCGTGTGGGTTGGAGGCGCTTGGTGAGCGAGCCACGTGGCTTTGGCCTCTCCAAGTCCTCTCTCCTCTCCTTGCAGAAAGAGCCCAGCCAGCCAGCAGAGTGCAAGCAGCAGTGAGAGACCGCGGCACGGGTGGCGCCCATGGCCGCTGTCAGGACGGGCCTGGTCCTGCTGCAGCAGGTGGACAGTGCTCACGACATCTAACGCGCTTTCAAGTGCATGACCTTGACTTTTCCTTTCCCTCCTTGTTTTGCTTAACTTGTACGGTGGCGACAGCGCACTCCAGGACCCCGGGGGCTATAGACCCTGTGGGTGGAGCCGGGCGAGGGCCTGCCTGCCTCCCAGGCCCCCTGATTTGAGGAGCCCACCCCGTTGCTGCCACAAGCCTGCTCAGAGCTGCCGCAGCCCTGGCGCTGGCCGTCCCAGTTCTTAGAGTGTTCTCTTGCGTTGTAGTCTCTAGGGGTCGGGTGGGTTGTGCACACCTCTGAGGCAGGAGCTTAGGGGCCCATCCTCATATTTATTTATTCATTGATGCTTGGAGGACTTTGAACTCACTGTTACTTATCCTTACCATAGTGAGACCCGGCTGGTGTCTGGGCCAGAGGGTGTGCTGGTGGGAGCACTGCTTCCTGCTGCTCTGCTGAGGGCAGGAGCTGCTCCTGTGACCCACAGGCCTACTGTTGGGACGGCGGCAGCCAGAGGGCCAGGGTCCTCGTCCCCTCTGGAGGGGAGAGGGCAACAGTGGAGGTCACGTGTTGTTTTCTGAGTAACCCCACCTCTCACCCCACCACTCATCCTGTCTTAAAGCCCTGGGTCTGGTTGACCAGTCAGCAGCTGGTGTGAGGTTTCCAAGTATGTGGTGGTGCTGGTCTCTGGCAGCCGGGGACAGCCGTGACCAGGCGTGTAGAGTGCGCAGCCTTACCTGATAACACATTTGTACCTGAATACGGTGTTTTCAATTTGTACAGAATAGTTAGAATATTCTATTAAAGTTGTGAAACACGAGGCGATGCTGTGTGGAGTCTTCCTTTGCTGCTCCTGCGGCGCCCCACCTGTGTGGTGGGCCAGCAGGCCTGTCGTCTCCTGCGCCTGCCCCCAAGGCCCATCTCGCTGGGTGCAGTCCTGGGGCCCTGGCAGGCTTTTAGCTGCTGTGGGAAAGGCTTTACCACGAGCTGTGCCTTGTGGGTCCAGGAGCCTCCCCTTGAAGCCCGTGTTGGATGCTTTCTCTAGGTCTCTTCAGATGTCTCCCTAATGAGAGGGGAAGCGTTCGGCCCAGCAGGTGGGAATCCTGGCCCCAACCCAGATGAGGCCACGGTAGCTGGTTGCTGCCTCCTGCAGCTGGCCCCTGGCTTGCCTTCAGCATGCCCTGGCGTGGGAGAGCCAGGGTGCCCACTGCACCCCTTTCTCATCCCCCTCCTGTGAAGTACTCGAGGCAGCTTGGCCTTACCTGGCCGCCTGTGGGACAGGGGCAGTGTCCCAGAAGGCAGACCTACACGCTGACCCTTCTACTCTATGGCTGGAGTGCCCTTGGGAAGGTCCTCGGGGTGTTGCCCATACTCCCTGGTGGCCCAGAGAGGTCGGGTCTCCAGAGCCTGCTTGTGAGTATGTGGCTCACAAGTCATTTCAAGAACAGAAGTCACTGCGCAGGGTGCTGCGCCTGGGTGACTGTCATAGGAATGGTTGCAGCGCTAGGGAGGAAGCCTCAGTGGCCCGGCTGGCCACAGCTGTGCTGAGGGCTACTCTGCAAGCCTGGCCCCTCCAGCTCCTGGACATTGTCATCCACTGGCCACACTCAACTCTCAGGGGACACTCAGCCTCACGGTGGGGGCAGGGGGAGTTGGGGAGAGGCTGCCTCGGGCTGGTGGTAAGTAGCAGGGTGTCGGGTACTGGTGGAGCCGCATGTCCATGAGGGTCTGCACATGAGGACGGGCCACCTGGTGGGGGTCAGGCAGATTGAAGCAGACGGGGGCCTCCTGCGTGGCATGCCCTAGCAGCAGGCCAGCTGGGTTCCATGATATCCTGGTGTCCCGGGTGCTGCTGTAGAGCCCTCTCTGAAATGCATCAGGAGGATGGGACGGGAGGGAACTGGGGAGAGGGCAGGCAGCGAGGGAACTCCTTCTGGGGTGGCCCTTGCTGCTGTCCCTGCTGTGAACTGCTTGCCTGTGGCTACCAGTCAAGAAGCCCTATGTGATGGCCTAGAGGTGTGTGCGTTTATTTTCCCTAATCAACGCTGACCCCTGACCTCCCCTGCAGCTCCTGGCATCCCCTGCAGGGCCCCCAGCCCACCTGGGTGTGCTGTGCAAGCTGGGTTCCTGCATTGTGGTTGGCTGGCTGTCCACCACGGAATCAGGGGCCTGGGATCACTGTGCCCAAGTGTTTCCAAGAGCAGTTCCCTCACATGGGAGGCCCCTCTGGAGACCCCAGGACGCCACGTGGTCTAAACTTGGGACCCGGTTCCCACCCAGCTGTATACATCCTGCCTGCTCCCAAGGGTCACAGGAAGGCCCCAGGTAGCACCAACCTAGGTGTGCTCCAAGACCTGGTTGCATGTAGCATAGTCGTCACCACAAGCCCACCCGCCAGGTGCTGGATCCAGTCAGAGGTACCCGGGAGGCCAGTACCTCCTCCCCGGTCCTGGGGTCCAGCCCCACTGCTCAGGACCTCCACCTCGGCCTGTCTGTCCTGGCCAACCCCAGGGTGGCCCCAGGCTCTGCTGGGGTTCTGCAGAGCCTGCCCGCCCAACTTCTCTTGAGGACGTCCCCAGCCCAGGCTGGCACAGTGCTCTTTCCAAGGGCCTTCCTTCCCAGGACACTGGGAGCTGCTCCAGTCTATCCCCACATGCTTGCCCCTAGCAGCCACCCCCTGGGGAGCTGTGTCCCTCAGGCCTGGGTCTCCTGTGTCACAGGTGCAACCAATGAGGCACTTCAGACCCCAGCTGAGCACCGCACTAGAGCTTCCACACAGCCTCTGGTCGGACCAGCTCGGGGCAGGGAGTCCATGGGAACGGCCTGGTAGCTGGGCAGGGCTGGGGAGCACTGAGCAATGGGGACGTGGGTGCCCCCAGTCAGCAGAGACACTCAGAAGGGGCTCAGTGAAGGTGTGTCTATGAAGTCAGCCTGCCCTGTGGCCTGTCTGCTGTATGGGCTGCCACCTGTTTACCTAGGGCAGGGGTCCCGCAGAGGCCTGACCCCTGACCTCCCCTGCAGCTCCTGGCATCCCATGCCCAAAGAAAGGATCCCAGGAGACCAAGTCCACCAGCCTGGCCCTCTGCTACCCATTGCTCACCAGAATGGCCAGATCTGGCCCCAGTGACCCCAGCCCCCTCTCCTGCCGGGATCTGGAGTTGCTCTGAGGTGGGAGTTGGGTGCAGTGCCAAGAGGGAGCAGCTGGGGTGTGGGTGGTGGGCCCCTGGGCCTCCCGCAGTGGGTCCATCTGCCCCCACCCCCCAACCTGTTTGGCTCTGAGTCCTGCTGGGGAGGAGGGGTTCAGGGGAGCGCTGGGACAGGCGGTGGGAGACATGGCCATCTCTGCCTTCTGCCTCTAGCCCCAACACCTGGAGGGAGCTCTCCTAGGGAAGGTGCGGACCCCTCATTGGGCCTCACATTGCCAGAGGACACATCCCCGTTACGGGCGTCCTTGGCTCCCTGCCTGCAGGGCCACCCACTGCCCACTGGGTGGACTCTGCCCTCTGCAGGCCCTTCCCAGCTGCCAGCACCTCTGGAGGCAGACACCCCCCTCCCTGCCTGGGGCACCTCGTGGCAGGCCCCAGGAGCCCTGGCGGACCTGCTGAGCGCCTTTCCCTGGCACTTTGTGAGAGTCAGACTCAGAGGCTTGTCCCAGGGTTCACAGGCTGCAGAACCTGGAGCCCTTTCTCCGCCTCCTCGGCCGCCTACTGAGACCGAGCCACCTCTGTGTGCCCAAGCAGAGCCCCGCCTGCAGACCCAGGCTGTCACCACTGTGGCCAGTCACCACCTGGTCCGTGCTGACTCAACACTCTGGGAGGGCGGTAGCCGGATGTAACTTTCCATGACAACCCAGCACAGGTGCCCGGGGCAGGCATTCCTGGGCTCCTAGGAGTCTGGTACTCTCAGACCCCAGCGTCTGCCTCCAAGAAGTGGGGAGACCCCTGGTAGGGTCAGGGCTGCCCCAGCTGCCCTCCCAGTCTGGCGGAAGGCTGGGCCCTTGGCCCTGGCGAGCCGGGAGAGCACTGTGCAGGGGCCCAGAGGAGGCTTCAGGGCTCCCCCTGCCCTGTTCCCGCTCTGCAGGGAGGGAGGGGAGGGCAGCTGTGAGTGCATTCCAGGCCCTGCTCTTGGGGTCACCTCAGAGGCAGAGCTGGGGACAAAGGGGCCCTCAGTGCATTCAGCAAAAGGCTAGAGAGGGGCTGGGGTCAGTGAGGGGCCCTCTGAGAGCCCCCACTGTGTAGAGGAGGGGTGGGATGCAGAAGAGATGCTCATGTCCTGGTCCCCAGGTGTCAGGAAAGGGGAACTTGAGGGGCAAGGTAACCTGGGTCATGGGCTGGGCCAGGGGTCATTGTGTTCCCAAGAGAGGCAGTAGGGGCAGCCGGGGAAGGCACCCCTGCCAGCGCCTCCCCAGGGACACAGGAATGTGCCCAAGCCTGCTCCTCCCTGGCCTCCTGGGTCAGAGTCCGCCTCCGCCCTCACAGTCCACGATTTAGATGCCAGAGCTGTTGGGCATCTCTGTCCCCCACAGTGCCATGTCCACTCTGGGCCAGCTGATCCAGGGAACCCGGCCTCTGGCTGTCTGCCTGGACCTGGAGGTGTTTCTGTCCTTGTCCAGACCTGGCCGGGGAAGGTCAGCTAGTGAAGGCAGCCTAGCCCAGGGATGCTGCCTGGGTCCCAGCTGTCCAGATTCCCCTGCCCACCACATAAGGAGTGGGCAGGAAGGGGAGAAGGACAAGAACTTCATGCAGTTTGATGAAACTGGGAGACGCAGCCAGTGTTTCTCCTCTGCCCCCCCCCACACACACACACACATACACACACACAGCTGTTAAGGCTTGGAAACCAGAGCTGGGCGCTGTCGGTCTGCAAATGTAGCCGGCCTGGAAAGGGGGCAAAGTGGGGAAGCAGAGGAGCCTGGGCCAGCCAGCCAGGAGGGAGCTGGCGCCCATCAGCCTTACGGGCACCCTCCTTGCCCACCCTCAGCTTCGGGAGGGGGTGCTACCGACAGCCTCTGCTCTCAGCCCGAGGAAGGTGTTCCTGGTCTCGAGGGGCCCCCAGATCCAGTCTGTTTCAGGCTCCTCGGATCTCCTCTGCCGTGGGGCCTTTCCTGGCCTCACCAGCTGCAGCCTCCGGTACCCAAACATCCATCCCGACCTGAGCCTGGCTCCAGCCCCACCCCCTGGGCTGCTGAAGAAGGACCCCAACCAGGCCAGGTGGGAGGTCAGGGTGTGCCGGGGCTGCACTCTGAAGGCCACCGGGCTCCAGGCCACTCCATCTCTGCCTCTGTCTTCACATGGCCTTCCCTGTGGGCACTCTCCTCCTCACGCTTCTCTTAGAGGACACTTGAGATGGCATTTAGGGCCAACCAGGTAATAACTCACTCACATCTCCTTCCTAAAGGTCACACTAACATATTCTGGGGATTGGGACATGAACATGTGATTTGGGGGCCACCATTCAGCTCATGATGGGCTGATAGGAAAGGAGAAATGACCGTCAGGGAACAGGCCATGCATATCTGGAGGCATAGGCACAGAAAGCCCCAAGGAAGCTGGGAGTGGTGGCATACACCATCCACCAGCGACCCTAGAGGCTAAGGCAGGACGATGGCAAGCTCCAGGCCAGCCTCAGCGACCTAGTGAGGTCCTGTCCTAGAACAAAAAATAGAAAGGGCTGAGCGTGGAACTCAGTGGTTAAGCTGACCCCATGACGCTGCGGGTGGCACTGCACGGCTTGCCTCCTGACCACCGCTAGCAGCCGGCGCCGGGCACACTCTCTAGGTGTGCGGTGTCACGCCTCCACCTCCGCAGCTTCCTCCTCGCC